ATGTTAGAAGAGGGGATTTCATGTATAAGATACAATTTATGGGCATGATTATATATGTACAATTTTGTGAATTCAGCATCTCTGTAAACTGACAGAAGAAAGTTGGTGTAAAAGTAGATTTTTTTTTGTGTTTGCTCATTTATTTTTAAAAGTAAGATGAAGTATTTATTCACATCTATGAATGCTCATATTGTGAGGTCTGTTTCTATCAGTGAAGGCTTACAACTTAAGTGTTGTCCATAAATCAGGCATTTTCTGTATCTTTCTTCAAAGGGTTTGTTTTCTCTTTAGGTTATAATCTGTCTCATATTAATTTATTTGAGGAAGACATAAAGGTAATTAATAGTGTTACATTTTTATATCAATGGACAATTGAAAGAATGACATTTAAGATTCACCTTGTCTTCATGGTACTACAGTGGCATTATTACATATATAATGTGGAAAATAGTGCAATGCATATCTGCTAATATGGATGTACTATAAAGGAAATAAAGAAGTCAGTACAAATCAGTTACAAAACAAAAACGTGAATAAGTTTTAAAGGAATATCAAACTTATCGGTTGGATTGTGGGTACCAAATAATCACTGTTAGTACAGTGATTAAATCATTTTAACACTCTCTTAATGTTCAGAAATAGGTAAATTCAGCCAATAATAACAAAAAACTAAATACTAAATATATAAAAACTTGACATATCATTGGACTGTGTGAATATGGCTCATAACAGACAAAGTAACAAAATTAGCTCTTTGGGGCACTGACTATATAATACTTCCGTGCCAGTAAACTAAGGCAAAAAGATGAGTTTACTTGGGTACGTCTGTGACATAGCCTTGATCCAGTTCTGGAAATCAAGAATTATAAGATCATTGCATTTTGGAAAACAGAAATTTAGGTGAATATCTGTTACATAAACACTGATAGCATTTTCAGTGTCAGAAAAACTGATTGAAAAGTTGGTCTTTCATACATATAAAACTAATCTGCACCATTGGGGAAGAAAGAAATAATACAATACCATGTCTGTCAAAGTGTCTAGAAATGCAACCAAATTGCATATTTGTTTCCTTTTTTGCTTTGAATGTATCAATATGATAATTCAATATACTTCTTGAATGATAAATGTTATTAAGATATCATAAGTTTTAACTTGACTAAATTGATGTTGAATGATAGGTAATGCAGAGCCTTCCAAAGCATACAACACAAATATTTTTAAGCAACACAAATTAATACCTATCTCCTTTAATCTAAAATGATGTTTTAGAAATGTTCGAACATCAGTGAAACTGGAATTCTGTTGCTGTTCTTGTTAAGGAGGCAGCTTATTACACTGGTGGGCTCCTGATTAGGATCTCTCCTAAAGAGCCCTGGAATATTAAAAGGCCAGCCAGTGCAACATGCCCATTTTGAACCTTAGCTTTACAATATTGCTCTACTGTGGGATAAATATTTTGAAAAAAGCAACAGCTGATTAACTGATGTTGAGAAAGCAATCATTTTGCAGAATGAGGACTTATTAAAAGATTTTTTAAACAACTTATACAAGTAAAGTTACAAGACTTTGACTTGTCTAAAGCTCATTAAGTATACAAACCTTTTACTCTACACAAAAACCAGCCCAGGAGGTGGTTTGGGAGGACTTGGCAACTGCAGCTCTTGCGGTGCTTTTTCTTTCCTTTTCCCCTAGGGCATCACATATATACAATGCTTTATTTTTCCTTCCTGTGTGTCACAGGTCACTACTGTGCCATGGTGATGCAAAGGATGGAAAGATTACTCAAGTCCAACTCAAATTCCATGAAGGCCTAAAGGGACTGCCTTTAACTGAAACCCTTCAGTGTGAGAGAATATCATAAAGGCAGCCTAAATGTGAAACTTTGTAGCTTTTTATTGCTAGAACCAGGAAGAACAGGGGAAGGGCAAGGTGATCCATTACATGATCAAACTTGGGACCAATGTAAGTAATAAATTGGAGTGTGGGGAGGATGAAGGCCCTGAGCATTCATTCGTTATGTGTTTTAGTCCTACTTGAATCTGTGGTCCCATAGGCCATCTTTTCATCTCTAATCGTGTGTCTTAGTTACTTTATGATCGTCACTGAGACAAAATACCTGGAGCCCAAAGTTGAGAAAGGAAAGGTTTATTTCTTACAGTTTTTGGAGGTTTCAGTCCACACTCAGTTGGCTCCAAGGCAGGCAGGCATGGCTGGGCTGCAGTTCATGGCAGACCGGACAGCAAGCTCGAACCAGCAAAGAGAAAGACACACCTTCTTCCTGACATTACATCACATCTTGGCTCCACCCCTTTGTGGGTGGAGCACTGACACCATTAATCCAAGCTCTAAACAATGAACCATCACATATGAACAACACAAACTCATGAGGCCTGGGGGACACAAACATAAACCATGACATCGTGCATTCCAGGAGTTTCTGGGGCCTTCGGCTCTAAAAGTTCCTTATCTTTGCATATTCATCTAGCACATATTTCTAGCCAATACTCCCACATTGTGGTTCCACACTGGTGGCTCTCTGAAATATCCCTGAAGTTTTTCTACGCATTTTTCTAGAACTTTTAAGTTAAACACATTCTTTATCAAACAAGAATAGCCACTACAAAATCATGTACATTTTCTAATATACGTACATTAAATATATACTTTAAAATCTGCTTATTTAATGGTATTGCTTTGTTTATCAGAAGGGCTACATTTTTTTTTACTGGTCTTTTCTGAAAACACGCTATGCTTCGACTGTTCTATAATTTACATAGATTTTGACTGACCAATAGAAAAACCATGACAGTCATGTGCTTTCTGGGATGGATTAGGAAACTGATCATTTCAGTAATTGATAAATATGTTGTCAGTGCCCATCAACTAACTTGAAATCTATTTCTTGCTCCTGTTTGTGGCCGGTTGTACATAAAGAGCTGTTTGATTTTAGCTTATATTTTCTTACAGTTTCAACCATGCTTTTCTTACAGTGTCAACTCTGGTGCTCGGCTTCATAATGGAAAATTTGTTAGCACGTATTTAGTCGGTTTTGAGAGTTCAGCAGGTAGTTACTCTTTTCTTGGCCCTAAAATTTAGTCATAAAGAGATAATACAAATGCAAAGGCAGCAACAAGGAAATAAAGGGTTCTAATTTTGTACAAAAATTCATTTCTACTCATGTTCTTGTTCCAATAATTACTGTAAAACATGCTTAATATTATTTTGTTATTTTCAGTCAACCATGTTCTCTAGAACCCCAAAGATTAGGGTTTTCTTATAAGATTACCCTATGAATAAGATAAAAAGGTATACTCATCTCCAATAAATTTATTTGCCTTCAGTCAGTAAAAACTTTTAATTTAAAAATGAAATAATATATAAAAATGTAAAAGAATTCTCTATAATCTCTATAATAAGTGCAGTCATTTGTAATAATTATCCCTCCGTGTATTAAATACATTTTCCAGCATTTGAATGTAAAGTACAACTGGTGATGTAGCAATAGAAAATTACTCAGTTTTTAGGTCACAAATTCAATATGAACAGACTTTGCTTCTGAAATTATATTCTCAGTATACTTTTAAACCATATTTTATTTTTTAGTCTCCCTATCACATAAGAGAAGTAGCTTTCAAGAGGATGAATATGTTTTAAATAATTAAATGTCTAGTTTTGATTAAAATATTAGATTTTGACAAATAACAATTATTATATTTGTAATAATTTGCAAGCCTATTTCTAGCTAAAATATTTCCTGTTTTGATTACAGTATATTTGTTTCAAAAGACATTGTTAGATATAAATCAAAAAGAAAGCCTGGATATCACTCCTCTTATTGAAATAGTAATGCTTTTTTGTTATAATTGTCCCTGATTGCAATTGTCATCTAATTCCATTGGATTTCAAAAATGTTGGATTATTTATTTTTGTAAAGACTCTTGTTTCAAAACAGGACTGAGTAAGCTTATTTTCCAGGTTAATAACTCTTACTAAAAAGTGTGTATGTCTTATAAAAGTATCCCAAAGGCAGGAATTTAAACCACTCTTCTACTGAGTGTTCATATTGGGAAACTACTCACATTCTGAACTAAATGTTCAGAAACAACGTTTTCAGATATCTCCATTGTAAAGACTATTCCACTATCTTACAACAACAAAACCGTAAAAGTGAGCTCTGAATATCTCCTCTGTTAACACGTTTTTTAAAAACCGTTATTTCATTATAGCCTCATAATAACCAGTCCTGTGATATAAAAGAGAAATCCTCAGATTAACCGTGATATCACCACCACCACATTTCTCACCCCGCCCAATGTCTAAACTCCACTCTGCACAAGTCAGAATTATCTCAGTATGCTTTTTTAAGTTTAAAAAGGTTCAAAAGAAAGAAAGAAAGAGAAAGAAAGAAAGAAAATCCAAGTAGGAGGGCGAGTAGGGATCCTTCAGTTCCTTTAATAGCTAAAAGTATTGCTTTCTCCTAGACGCGTAATGCCTAACAAGAAATCCTAGGAGATTCCGTGCTTTTTTACCTGCTGTAAGCCTAGCAAGAGGCCCCTAAGTGGAACCTGCTCTTGGCAGCTCTATGGAGGACTACTAGCACTACTAGGACTTCCTTCCTTCTCTACTATAGGTCTCAAATTACACGTCTGCAAAATTAGAAACTTGGACAACGTTTTCTGTTTTTCCCTTGTCTTACTCTAAGAGGGAAAGGTTGTTTGAATCAGGAAAGAATAAGCCAACCATCCTGTGTGACCTAGGAGAAGCACATCTCCTGGGTCTAAACTGGGGGCCAACATCTGAAAGCAAGGTCCTGGGGACCAGGAGTGGACTAGGAGGCACCCAGCGTCAGAAACTTGGTTTAAGCTGCGCTCTGGTTCCGCTTCCTCTTCTGTAAGCGTCGCGGGCTGGGGAAGTGCAGCACCCGCCACGCCCCCTGCCACTAGCCCTTGGTGAGCAGCGAACTACATTTCCCAGAATACCACGTAACGCTCCATAGCGCGCCGGCAGGCGGTCTATGTCGTCATCAGCCTGCGAATGTTTAGCTTCCATTGTAGTCGTGGCGTTTTGGGGCAAGAAGTTGGGAGTTCAGGGGAACCCTGGGACTGAAGACACGGTCCCGGTGACCCCCGACCCTTCCGACCCAGTCCTCTCTCGCCCGCCATTTCGCTCACCCTTCTGACAGGATGAGGCGTGCGGGTCTGGGTAAGGAGAGGGCTGAGTTTCGAAGTTTGGGGACCCTAGAACAGACTGTGCTGGGCGCTGGGGCGGGGCGGAAGCCAGAGGAGTCTCTTGTCACTGGCCTTTGGACGGAGCTGGGGGGGGGGGTTGGGAGGCGGGGAGGGTCTAGATGGGAACTCTGGTGGCGGGGCCCAGTGGAAACACATCATTTGGTCCAGGTCCTGGAGTTTCCTTAAGTTTGATTAAGTCTCAAGTTGAGGTGGTAGGTTAGAGTGATGGAAAATCAGGAGTGCGGTGTGCACAGGTGCCAACTCGGTAGTACAGGTGTGTGTAAGTGTCGTTGACCGTTTGAGCTGTGGTGATGGAAATTAGTTTTCGCTCAGTACCGCTTTAGTTTCTCATTCCTTACTGATCGTGACTGGAACTTAAGTGTCTTGAGAAGCAAAATGAGAATAGTGGGTGTTGACTGCTAAGCAGTAGTAAAGATTGTTAGACTGGTAGAAGGGAGTTGCAAGGGTAAATCTACGTGTCATTGCTGCTAAAGGTCTGGTGTTTAAGGTTGGGGTCAAAGGGGATTTTACTTATCTGAACCTTGTTCCACTGGTGAAGCTGTACAGTATAGTAAGGATTAGTGACCTAAGGTGTGTTCTTGATTTTGTGGGTTAAGAAACTGGCATTCTAAGTAGCAGTAATAAATTAGGCCCCAGATGATTTAGTAGACCTTTGTAATAACACACAGATGGTAGAAGAGCATTTTCTGGTTCAGAAGCTATGAAAATGTGGTTTAAAAAGAAAACTGCTAAATCGAAGTGCAGTACTCTTCAATAAACACAAGAAACGTTTTGAAAACATAGTATTTCCATTGTCACTGTAACACGGAAAAAATGGAATATTTCAGAAGTATTAGATATTTAAAGTCAGTAAAAGTTGCCAGTAAATATAGCCTTGTGCATTGATTAATACATCATAGTATGACAACAGGTTTTTTTAAAATGTATTTTTTATGAAAATTTGCATCACAGAAACTATACGGGGCAGGGAAATCGAAGAGGAAAAAAATAATTTCAAACAAATTTAGTTTCACAGGCCTAAATATTTTTTCTAAAAAAAGGTCTATTGTATATTTGAGTAAGTTCTAGCTGTGTAATTTTCACCCTATTTATGCTCCATAAACTTCTAGTCTAGCTGAAGAGTAGGAATATATGCCAAGATAAGTTATGATACAAGGTGATAGCTATATATCAGCAAGTAGAAAATCAGTTCTACAGAGTGAAAGTCTCAGAGATTTGAGAGATAGATCTCTTAGTGGAGACATTGGGATTCTACTAGACCTTCGGTGATAGAAGGTGAGAGAAGTAAGTTCCATGTGGGAAGATGACCAAAAAGAAAAGGAATGTAGAGTTATGTCTCAACTGACAAGGGTGAGGATGATCTTCAGTCCTCATTAGCTTTTCTTCAGTTGTTCTTAGCAGTAATTCATACAAAAAGTACTGGCTGAATTTGGAACAGTAATTCTAGCTCTTTTTTTTTTTTTCCTGTATTACAAGTAGATGACAATTTGAGTAAAGAGCATATCTTAGAAATGTGCCTTGGAAGATTTCTATAAATGAAAATTTTACTTCAGACATGGAACATTATGGAAAAATTCTGAAGTTAAAGTTAAGATAGATAAAAGGAATAAAAGAAAAGAAACCAAATAATCATTAATTTAGATGAATTCATTGATGAAATTCTCCACTGATTAAATTCAACCAGTCAAGAATTACTTTTTGGGCAAATGTTAATATGCTTGACTTCTTAGTCACATAAAATAAGTGAATAAGTAGTTCTTTTCTTTAAAAGTTTTGGACTATATTAATGTAGAATTTGCGGAGTACTTTGGTTATCAGATTGAGAATTCATTTATTTTTATTAGTTCATATTTACAGTACATAATGATTATATTCACCATGGTGTAAGTGTACCTGTACGTAATATGTGCCTACTCATGTTTGTAGCAGCACAATTTATACTAGCCAAATCCTGGAAACAAACCATATGCCTATCAACAGAGAATTCATTTTTAAGTGATGACTTTAATTGTTAAGAGGGGATAAATTAGTATGTCCAGTTATTGAGCTCGTAACTTTTTAATAATACATTTTGAGGACTTAGGTAGTATGTCAGTAGTTGAAGGAAAGTTTGAGTTAAGCAGCTCTGTCCTCTGTTTGGAATACACAGGATTTTGTCGTGGGCCTTGTAGTGGTAGAAATTGACTAGGTTAGATGGCTGCTGTATATTCGCTACTGAGGGAGATAAAACCATGAGACACTGTTTCTGTGCTTACAGATTCTATTCTTGATAAAGTTGAGTAATAGTAAATCCAAATTCTATTCTTTAATCAGTTTATTTATATACATTCAGTGAGTGTGCTTTCCTGTTGGTGTGCCTATATGTATGTTATGGGAATATGTAATGAGTGAAACAGACTTACTTTCTACACTAGTAATACAGTCTAGAGAGCAATAGTATTGGTAAAGCCAGAACTATAAAAATTCAGATTTGCTTCTTAGAGAAAATGAAGTTTGTACTGTGCCTTGAGAGAGCTTCCTATTCAACCACCACATCCTGTCCTTCCAGCTGTTACTGTCCATGCTCATCTTCTGTTCTTTGGCTTATGGGTGCCTTTAATTTTAATAATATTCCTTCCCCTACTTTCTTAGTGAACTGTTTAATGTGTTTCCAACTGTGTAGAGTCTACCCCTCATAATCCATATCTTCAGCCTCTTTTTTGTCACACAGTCTCAACTTTTTGGGGGCTCCATTCTTCTGCTGCCTAACATGATAATCCTCTAACTGTAGTTCAGTCTATTAGTGTGGCTTCTCAGAGGCTAAATGAGATCAACAAGCACTTCTGAGAAGGAACACACATCTGGCACGGTCAGAGCCACCCCAGTATATTGCTATAGCCAGGTTTATTTTATCCTTCTCTGAGCAATCGTGTCACTTTTCTTCATTATCCTCCTTGCTGATCATTGCAGGTGATTGCCATTCTTTATAGGATGGTTCCTTTGATTCCATGACTGAGAACACTGATGGCATCACTCACAGGGTGGTGGGGACTATATTCTCAGTGTCATCCTCTAGAAGATAAGCTGCATAAAAGTAGCTCCTGAAAGAAGAATGGATCTGACACATGATAGTTCCTCAGTTATTTGCTGAAGAATGATTAACAACACTCCGTGGAACTCTCGACTGACATTCTCTATGAGAAATTCTCCATCTGTCTCTTAGGACTTCAGCTTGTATCCCCAGTTCCCCTTGACCCTTTTCTCTTTTCTTAGCTGTCTAAGAGACATAGTGGTAAAAGACCATGCTTTCGCCCTGGACTTTCCATCTCATCCCATTATCTTTCTTCCTTTCCCTTCATAGTAAAAGTGCTTTAGTGGGTAGATGGTGAGTAGTACTTTTAAAATTTTTTATTAAAACCTATGTTTTTACTGAGCAGGGAATATATTCTGAAGATCCTTACATATCATTGTCTAGTTTTGTGTCTTCTTGGCAAACAGTAAGTGATCAATAAGTGTGTATTGAAGTGAGCTTAATAGTCCATGGGGGGGGTTGTTCTGTTCTATAGTTATAAATTTAAAAATTTATTTGGAATATGAATATGATAGACATAAGTGGTCTGTAATGCCCTCCAGGCATCTTTTTTGGTTCTTTTCAACTCTTACCTTTTCAAAAATGACTTCTGTTTTTGCTGTACAACACTTGTGGTCCTCACAGGTGAAGGAGCACCTCCTGGCAGCTATGGGAACTATGGCTATGCCAATAGCGGGTACAGTGCCTGTGAAGAAGAAAACGAGAGACTCACTGAAAGTCTGAGAAGCAAAGTGACTGCTATAAAATCTGTAAGTACAGAGTGGGTCTTATATACGTTGTATTTTTATATGCTTGTCAGTTATATACTTTTTTTGAGATCATAATAAACATGTCAGCTACTCAAATACTGTGGTTCAATGAGGTCAAAGTACACTCAAAATATAGGTCATACTTATTAGTTAGAAAATGTAGCAAATCAAAAGATACTTTGGTTTATTGTTTTTTTTTAAACTCCAGTTGCTATGTGTGTATTCCAATTTAAAAAACACTGTAGTGTTTCCAGCTATATCTCAAACAGTGCTGTCCTTCCATCCCCAAGTAGCTGTCTTTGTGTTTTTCTAATCTCTCAAGGTGCAAATAAATGTTAATCTTTCTTTTTTTTTTTTTGACCCTTTAAACCCATTTCATTTTGTCACATTTCTCTCTATCTCTACTTTTCTGTTTCTAATACTACCCCTCATTTTCATAGGTGAACCATTGGGCGAGCCTCTTAGTTCTGGCCTGAGCTGCGTACTGTCATCTTCGTAGAATATTTTTAAATTGCATCCTGCACTCCCAGAAGTCTCCTGTTTCCTCCATGATTTAATAAGCTTCACATTCCATAGCTTGATTGGATAGGTCCTTCAAAGTTTGGTTCTGGCCTTGCAGACCTTATCTCCCGCAGTCTGTGTGTTTTCTTCAGACTAATGGGAGTGCTCTTCCTGTCCTCCACACGCTGCCGCAGTCCCGTCCTCCATTCCTAGCACGTCCCTGTGCCTCAGTGTCCTCTTCCTTACACTGACTGAAGTCCTGTTTGTCCTGCAAGGCCCTACTTTGTTGTGTACTCTTCCCACCAGCTTCCTGATTAACTTCATCCAAAAGTTACTGTTTCCCCAACGCAAATAACTACCTGTGCCATTTCTAGAGCATTTATTTCATACTGATACACATTGGAATTATTTGTATGTAAAAGAAACCAGAATGTGGAGTTTTGTCTTATACTTTTTTTTTATATTCTGTATAGAACCTAACATGGTTTTTTATTAATGGTGTTACATATTCAATAAAGGAACTTACACACCAATGACTTTAATAGTGTATGTGATTGATTTTGTATTACAGTGCATGTACTGTACACTTACAAAGTTCCAGTAGAAGCCCGTGTTGCCAAATCAAATTGTATTCAACCTGGAGACTGTTGTATTTAAAATAGTATCATTTCAAAAGTCATATTAAATCAAAAGGAGTATATCTGTGAACCTAGTAATAATCGTATATTATTAATAATTTGGTAAATGCAACATTTGGAAGGGTATGAGAATTAAATGCCTTTTAAAACCACAAAACTAGTGTTGATATATTGTAGAAGAAAAGTGTGATGTTTCGAAATCTTTTTCATGGCATTAATGACATTTGTTGAAAGTAGTTGGGTGATTTATTATCTGATTTGTTAAATTTTGGGGAATACCTCATGTTTTGATCTACAGCATTCTAATATGATTTATGATTATTAACATATGTTTTCCACACAAATCAAGAAGAATAATTGCAATGGCTTGCTAAGATTTTCTGTAGCTGATTGCATTTATTTTGTTATTTTAGAAGTAAAGGCTTTGAAGAATTTATAATATGAAGTATTGGGATTTGGTTTATATTGCAGCTGTAATTATCCTTTTTTTCTTATAGGCTCGGGGCTCTTTGCTGCATTGTTTTTAGATGTAGATAATCCTAACTTGTGAAATTTAGTTTCGGTTTATGATGGAGTGCAAGTATCTTTAAAATTAATCAGTTTAGACATATTCAAGGTAATAGCTGGGGGTAGTGGTGCACACCTGTAACCCCAGCACTTGGGAGGCTGAGGCAAGAGCATTGCTGTGAGTTTGAGGTCAGTCTGAGCTACAAAGTGAGTTCAAGGCCAACCTGAACTGCAGTGAGACCTTTCTTGAAAAGACAAAAAAAAAAAAAAGTAATATATTTTCACTAGGAACACATTAAATACTTCTCTAGATTTCAGTTAATCATATGGACACCTCAGTATCTTTCAAGATATGATGAGGAAATATATAGGTAGATACTTTTGTATGAATAAAATAACAAAGCTTGCAAACAAAAGGATTAGAGCATGTACTAAAACTGTCAGGATTGACTAATCAATGAGATCAGAATGAGGAAGGAATATCTACGGTTAGAAGGAGTAGAAATTCTAGATTTATTTTACATTGATTTCAGTAGACAAAGAATTTGAATAGAGAATACTTAATATTCTGGAAAAATATATTACTAGAAAACATGGACATGCTTAAATATGGCGTTACTTTTACATTATAACACTCAAATGCCTTTGAGTAGTAATGGATATGCTTTCTTCTTTGTAGCTTTCCATTGAAATAGGCCATGAAGTTAAAAATCAAAATAAATTACTAGCTGAAATGGTAAGTAATCATGACTTTTTAAAGTTCTCAAATGTTTTTATTTTTATTAAATGTATTGGTACAGTTTAGATATACATAATTACATCCATCTTAAGGAATTTGTATCTGTATGACATATCTTGATTGCTATTTTTTTCCTAGTCCCATCTACTCCCTTCAGACCCTCTTCCCTTTCTTATATATTTATTTTTTGTTCCCATTTTGTCCTTCTATTATCTATTTTTCTTTTCCCTTCTTTCCTTGCCCTCCCCTCAACCCTAACTCCCCTTTCTTTTAAGTCATTTCTTCATATTTCACAATACCTATTACATACTTTGGTCCTTATTTACACTTAAAGTTTCTAAAACCATTTTTCTAGCACCATTTAGTAAAGAGGTTATCTTTCTTCTAAAAACAGCATGGTACTGGCAAAAAAAACCTATGATTTTACCTTTAAGACATTTGATCTGATATTCTGAAATGTAACCTGTTAACCAGGAATAAATAAAATTTTAATGTTTATCCATTTTGAAAAATCTAGGAATTATAAACCCTAGATTACATTCCATTTGTATCTAATCAGTTTGTCATAGGTATAAGATTTCTTTTTTGCCTTGTTTGTCTTGCTTAGCAAAATCCTTATAGAGCTCAGTAGCCTAAGAGCCCTTTGTTTCTTAATAAGCTAAACCACATAGTAACTATTTTGTTAGAGCCTTCTTGCATTTGCTAATGTTTTATTTTGGATGTCAAACTTCTTGAGACCTTGCTTTTTTATTCCAAATGCTTTTAAAATTGTGATATTCCAAAATCAGTGTGGAACTTAAAGCAGTGTTCTGATTAAGCTTTTTACTAGAATTACCAAGAGAACTCTTTGAAAATGCACATGCCTATTTTTCACTCTAACTAAAGGGAGGGCCTAAGGCATATATTTTGAAAAAAGCTGCCTGGGTGAATCTGATGGATAATCTTGGGGAAGGACCATAAATATAAAATACACATGCTACACTGACACTGAGCTATGCAAAGACTGCTATTATGCTGATACTGAGATTTCTATGAAACTGTAGTATTTCAAATGTATACTTGGTTTTCTCATCTTAAGGACTTCTCCCACTATGTTTTAATATGGTGGTTTTTCTTCATTCATATTTGCATCCCTTACCTCATTTGACACCTTCACATGATACTCTTAGGTTTTGTGGACTCACTGTACTTCAGAGTCAGCTATATATAAATGAATGTGTCTTAAAAATGAAGGGATGGTTAACTACTAAATGTGTTAAATTTCTTTACTGGTAGTAGTCAACTGTTTGACCTTGGGTAGCAATATCACAACAAAAAGTAGGGGAAAATTGTGTGATGTTTTTTAAAGTACGGACTTTTCTTGTTAATGTTTTTTCATCCATATAATGGGACTAATACCTATGTACTTTAAATGTTTGGATATCTCTATGATTGAAATACATGTTTAAATTGAATAATAAAAGAGCTTTTTATTCATTGAAAGACCTGCTTTAATTTGCATGGAGTAATTGGGCTGATTACAAATGTTATAAATTGGCTCCTGAATAGATTAAACACAAAACTGCCATTTAAAATGTACCCTAATAACAGTAGATTCAGGTACTTCATTGTACATATGTAGAATGTAAGTGTGGTATTTTCCTTTCTTACAGGACTCCCAATTTGATTCTACAACTGGATTTCTAGGTAAAACTATGGGAAAACTGAAGATTTTATCCAAAGGGAGCCAAACAAAGCTGTTGTGCTATATGATGCTATTTTCATTGTTTGTCTTTTTTGTCATTTATTGGATTATTAAACTGAGGTGATGCACTCACGTGCATTCCAACGAATTGCTTTGGCATCATTTTGATAAAAATCAGTATCAAGACATTACTGATTTTCAAAATCTATGACCTTTTCCATGGAAAATTACAAAATTTTGCTTGTTTATAAATCACTGTTACATCTTAATTGACTTTGTTGCTTTTTTGTGTAAATCTCTTACATTCTTGATGTAGAATCTGACAGGTGGTCTAGAAAAGTCAGATTCCGAACAAAATCAAGCAAAGATAAGATTTGTGTTATGTCAGCTTGCTTCAAACAAATAAGGAAATCATGGCTATAGTTTCCAAAATCTATGTAACACTTTATGTTTTTACAAACTGTCCCTTTATGGTTTTACTTAGTTTTTCAGTTCTTTTTGCTCATTCCCTGATGATAGCAGTTGGAGTCCTGTTTTTTTCTGGCTGCATTTGTTACCATATGTATCTCTGCTTCCTAGGTAAACTCATTAGATCTGGGCAGGGACAAGGATTAAACAGCCATGTCTTAGATGTGAGGCAGAGGTAGGGTTTGAGTTAGGTGACCCTGTACAGCTCTCCAGCCTATCACTAACTCAGTGTTGTCAACATTGCATCACCTATTTCACAAGACTCTCAGGAGAGGCAGAAAAGAGAATGCAGTAGAAGCTCCTGATGCACAATAGTTAGTTAATGTAAAAAATGTCCACACTCGTAAACGTTAGTTCTCACTGCGATTAGCAGAATTATGTGTCAGGAAAGGACATTATTTTTTAGATGAAAAAAATAGATGGTTTCAGGCTTGAAATGATGATGCAAAACTTCAAGCAGATATTTCTGTCAGGCAGTGGCCTATATGCCTCAGTGGTTCAAGAGGTTTCAATTTTGTTTTCAATTATATGATAGCAGAGCTGAGGAAGACACAGAGTCACTGACAGTAATTTTAAGTTACAAACTAATAGAAGAAACAGAAGATCAAAGAAAGTGGTCCAAGATTAAAATGTAAAATAATCATCCAGTGAAACTGGAGAAGCTCAAAATTTTAGAAAAGCCAGTAAGGGCAAAAGAAGGGTGAATTTTCAGTATTAAAACTTGGCAATTACCAAGATATTAAAGGTAGTTGGATATTAGAGAGATATTAAAGAAAGTTGGATATTATCATCAAGCAGGTAGAGATTTCCACCAGAGGCATTTGGAGTGATGTAAAAAATTCTCATTGCTGCACAATTCAGCATTTCTTATTTTGATTTGTTTTTAAGAATTGACTAAAACCTTACATTTGATGACACTGCACATCACTGTGCCGAGGTTCCGCTGTTGGGGCTACTCTGGAAGCAATGGGCTGCCTTGCTCTGAAGCTCCTTTTGCCAGCCCTCTTTCTTCCATTTGGAGAACCTTAGGAAAAAATCTTCCCACAAATAAAATTTGGAGGAAATATCAAATATGAAAAAGTTTTAATCCTGTGTAGTCATTTAAAAGCCTATCACTAATCCCATAAGTACTTTAGTGCTGTGAGTTTTATAGTTGTAATAATTGAGTGGGCAGTATTCACATTGTAATCTTTATTCAAGCAACATAAGACTTGCAGATGTTGGGGTGGGGGGTGGGCACTGTTCTGTATTTTAAATGGTGCAAAAAATTCCAAAAGTAATTTATAAAAAGTCTAGCTGTCCAAATTCCCTGGAATGTAACATGCAAAGACATTTGCAAATAACTGAAAGAATAACTTATTCCTAGCAAGCATGGGACTGACTCTACAATAAGGAAAAGAATTATATGCATCCTTGATAGACTTTAATTGAGCATGGAAATTAATATTTGGATTTTGAGTTGAGAGATGTTAAATCTATAACAAATAGGCAATGTTTTATGCATCAAAATTTTGGAGTAGAGAACTACTACCTGCTTACTTTAAAAAAAAAAAAAATTTCTACCATATCAGCTTTCTGAATTTTTCAATGCTTTTACATTTCAAATTATATAGATTGAGTTTATTTCATTGAGAAGTTGAAGAAGTACTTGATAATTTGGACTCATTAGTCCGCAAGTGATGTTATTGAGGTGTACAGATGAAGAAATTTTGACTCCACTGGAATGCAGAACAGCATCTGCTGAAAGCTATGAATTCCTGTTGTGCATAAATCCTGCCTCTCCCAAGCCCATTAAGCCTTTGGCTGGATGGCCTTTCCTTCTTAGTTACTCTGAGATGGCAGCTGTTAATTTTTCTAGGAAGGATTTATCATTTTCTGAAATTTGGTCCATTTAGATTTCTTTGCATCCTTATCAATATGATGGGATTCTTTTTAAAAACCTTTGATTTGTTTTTTAACAGGTTTTTAAAAACATGTGATTTGTCTAACTGGTTTGGATTATTAGAGGGAGACCAATAGGCCTTTCAAACTTCCTAAAGGTAGAAGTTTGAAATAAGAAACATTTCTCTTCCTGTGATCGTGTTGCTTATGTATTAGTGTACCACAGAATAGACCTTTTCTTGGTATATATGTTTTTTCAGTACTTTTTATTCTTACATCAGTACCATACTTTACCATATCGTTTCATCAATACCAGTACCATATTTTAATTAAGGGGCCTTTATAGTGTTTCAATAGCTAACATACTCTTACCTATTTGTTTTGACAGATGAACATACTTTGATAATATTTTAATAAATCAGGGACTTGATTAGAATCACATTAATTTTCTATAATATGCTGTGAAAAAATACAAGTGTCTCAGATACTTCTTTTACTGGAATGTTTGATTTTTACACCTAGCAAATTTCTCATTTTCTGTCTTGACATAAGCATAGTTAGTGGTAAACTGTTGGTACCAGGTGTGGCATAGGGAGGAGCCCTGTCCTAGAGTAACATTATTACTGTGCTGTAATTCCTCTCACCACAATTGATTGCAAGTGTCAGCATGACATTACTGAGAGCAGCATTGTGCTTGGCTCCCATAACCTGATACAAACTTCTTCCAACACATCTTTGTTATATTGATGACCAATATTCTTTTAAAAGATGTAGAACATATTTGTTTTCTTATGAAGTGTAATAGGACATGTTCAAAAGATAAACTGATAAATTAACTTGCAAATGATGTTTTATAAAATAATGTTTTACAAAATAAAATATCATTTGTGTATCTTCCTGTATTTTCCAATTTGTATGGGAAAATTCTTGTTACATTTATTGACCCGCCATTTCAAATACTCCATAATAATATAGGGAAAGCTAAATAAATGATTATTTGTATTTAGGTTTTCTTGTTATTTCCTCCAGTTTAGTGGTCAAGCAGATATGCAGGATCATTCTGTAAATTTCATACAGCTTTGTCTTTTTGTGTGTATTCTGACATTCATAGTTTGTCTCAACTCTAGGGAAACATTTTCACAAGCCTTTAGAGCTACCACAAGAATTCAGATTTGCCAAGTTCCAAGTCAAAGTCTTAATCTTTCTTTAATCTTCAAAGCTAACAGGAAGTTAGAAATATGCATAAAATGTTTTTAACAAAACAAACTGCATATATTAAATACTAAAATAAGCTTAGTTAATACTTTATAACAAGCAGCTAAAGGATAATGTAAAATATAACCACGTTGTCCAGAGTAAATGTAAGTATTCTGCAAAGTTTTTTATGTTACTTGAAAGATAATCAGTTTTTGTCTTACTAATTAAGTCCACTTTGCAGACTTCAAGAATCAATATTACACTTGTATGTAGAAAAGTTCCTGTTGTGCCTTTTCAGATGCCCATGGTCACAGTGTGAATCTGACTCTATTAGTATTGTGGATTCCTTGATGTCTACAATGAGGTTAGGAATGAGTGTAAAAAAAGAAAGAAAGAATGAAGGAACAAAAGAAAGGAAAGAAAAACATTGCATTTAAAACGTCTATACAAAACATGTTAATATGTGATAATTCAATTCACATTTTAGGAGAATATTTGTAATTCTTTTCTTAATTTTATCTAATTAATGAATAAGTAGTCTAGAAGCTTGCAATTTATTGTGACTTCTGCATTATTTAAAACTCTAGTTGCTTTAAAGCACATAAACTCTCGAAGAAAGGAGCATGAGAGCATATGAGACAACTTGTGTTCTAAAAGTTACTGAAATATGCTTTAGTCTGCTTATAGACAGATTTTATACTTTATTTCTTTAAAAGTTTCCTTTTAACATTTTAATTTCAAATGAACAAACGTGTAAATTAAGAACTTTAAAGGCAAATTGTTCATTTGGTTTATATACATAAAAAACAATTCCAAGGAATGCAAGTGTATTATGATAACTTCTGTTAAGTCCATATTAATAGATTAAAATTATTTCTGAGTTACTACTTGGAAGACAAGTACATTTCCAAATGGTGTGTACTTGTCAGCTCCATTAAATTCTACATTGCATTTATTTATTATGACTACAAATTTTATGTATAATTTTAGATAATTTCAGAAATGCTTTTTAGAATTTATACAGCTTTCTAAGAGAGACCAATAGGGATATAGTAAACATCTTTGTTATTGATTATCCAGTGTTCAGAATTGCCACAAAATAATCTCTTTTCTGAGAATCAGTGGAAACTGAGCACTTAAGTTATGGCACATTGATGATTCTAGCAGAAAACTAAAAAGCACAAAAGTTTGGTTTGTATTTACAGCCAATCATGTAAGGCAACTGGAGATGCCTGGCTTTGTACTGTGAACATCATAAGAAGTGAGATGGGACAACTGGCCAGGTTTCGTTCACCTGCTCTATTGCAATAGTGTATCTGAAATTATCTTTGGGCATGGTCAACAAATTGTAATTTATTTTTAAAAGTATGCAGACTACAAATCTATATCCTAATACAGCTTTTTTAACATTTTAATTGAGGACTACTATGATTTTAATGTACTTATTTGTGTCTTC